TTTTTTTTTTAAATATAATGATTTGCATATGTATACAAATGAGTAAAGCCAATTACGTAATAATAAAAATATAATCATCATCAATCTATCTTAAATGTCAAAAAAGTATAATTATTTTCATACTAATACGTTTTTTTACTATATTATTATAATAACCAATTTGTAACGAGTCAAAGCTCGAATAGAGGCGACAGCGATCACGACGTAGGGGAATTATATTCCCGGAATAGGTACAATGGTTAATGAATCGAAAAATGTATTTTATGAGTTTTTATTATATACAATTTAAAACTAAAGTTGTGCTTTGTATATTTATACAATAAATAATAATAAAAGAGTTTGTTTTAATTGAATGTTTATTAAAAATACAGAATACAAATATTAGGTACACTAAAATGTTTAATAAATTCAAGTAGACAAAACTAAACCTTTAGTATTACACTAAATTTACTCATATGACCTGTGAAAATGTGAAACGTATCAATGATGAATTCCCACATACAAATAAATTTGAAAACAAGGTACATTTTGATGTTCTTAGATTTATATTAATTTGAAAACAATGTCGGAATACGCGGGCACACTTTAATTACTTGAGTCCAGGGCCACTCAACCGCTAAACCAGAAATATTTTTACTATATGTCAAAAAAGTAATTTACTCTAAAAAAATTAATTTAGCTTATCTTAAACAAAATAATTTATGATTGATAATGTACATAAATAGATTTAACCCTAAATACTAGATACAATTTTGGTGATAACCGAACGTAAAATAATAGCACATCATTGAAACTAAGGATATGTTTTTTTTTAATGAGAGAATAAAAATAAATTAAAATTCTGTAAGTATTTCAATTAATGGTTTCACACAAATTCACATTAATGGCACACTAATGTTTGGCCGAAAAAAAATTAATAAAAAATTAAAAAAGGGGGGCTGGCGAAATGTTACTWCTCTGCCTGTAATCGAACCCGTTCCCTAAWCTGTTAATCCCTCGAACTATATCTGAACTTAGTTTGTAAATAGGACGGTGCCTTTGGCCCGTTATGGAATTACGCCGAACGCTACAGTTCACCTCCCGGCCTGACTGTCGGTCCTAGTGGGAAGTACACTAGGTACCAAACCTATAAATGAAAATATCTACAGAGATAAACATATGGAATGATTACCAGAAAGTCAATATTATCATTTCAAAATACGAAATAAGCTTAGAAGCAACTGTTTCAAAGTATAAACGAAAATTAATTACATTTTAAGAGGAATTGATAATTTGAGCGAAGGGCTATGTGTATACCTACAAAGTTTTCCGTTATGAAAATAATAGGTGGTGACACATAAAATTTTAAGGAAATCTAAAATAGTTAACACGCACCCAATTTCAAATTAAGTTCAAATGATTTTTCTACCCTAATTATTATGTTTCGAAATTTATATTCTACCGAAAACCTTGAGAATTCATTGCAAACAATTCAAGTAAATCACTTGATATTCCGGTTTAATAATGACAGTGGATGAAGATTTTATAATTATAAAATATAATATTCACTTATTAATTAGTATCGGATATTCTCTGTCGATTATAGGAAAAGGTAAGTTGATTTAATTTCTAATAATTATTTAATTTTACTCGATTTATAATATGCATCAATAGGTATGTTTAAAGTTTAATCTTATGTTTATATTATATCCAACATGATTTCAATAAAGTAGTGTGATTTTTCTTTTTAAATAACTGCATTCAATTTTCCAAATTTCCAAAAAAAAATCTGTTAGTTATAATATATTATAATTAAATATTAACCTTAAACTACGTGTTTATAATGTTTAATTCTACGCATGGCCTGATAGTAGACATATAAGTAAGAATATGTTATAACTAAGAACTCTATTTCAAATTAAGTTCAAATGATTTTTCTACCCTAATTATTATGTTTCGAAATTTAAATTCTACCGAAAACCTTGAAAATTCATTGCAAACATTTCAAGTAAATCGCTTGATTTACCACTTTGATTATAACATTTGATGAATATTTTATAATTATTATAAAATATATTATACACCTATTAATTATTATCGGATATTCTCTGTCGATTATAGAGGAAAGTAAGTTGATTTAATTTTAAACGATTTATATTAATATGCATCTTAACTATATTAAAATTGTAATCTTATGTTTATATAATATTCAACATTGTAACGAGAAAAACAGAGTGACCAATTAAGTGGCGCACTCTAGTTGTTATTGTTACCCACAGTCAATATCGACCGTCACCTCGAGGCACGGCTCCACCGACGAAATGTGACCGCCGTCAGAAAGCATAGATAGCGCCGATCGACGTCCTATTATCTTAACGCGCGCCGCCCACAGGGAAATCGAGTTTTCTTTATGAAAGAACTAAGTTACCAGCACAAAAAGTTCATATTCGGAATCAGTGCATGTCAAACTATAAATTTGTTACTATCAAACATTTAAAACCTGTAACGGTGCAACCGAACACAGAAAAGTACAACACAATATTTTAATCGGGACCGGCAAGCATTTAACTGCATAAGTACAGGCTGCTGGCCGCCGTATACTACACACTTCTCCCCGCTGAGAAAAGGTGATTAGTGAGCTGGACGGTTWTTCAGATCGAGACGAACGGACACTAATCCCAGATCGATAAAACAGCATCTGCCTCAGACTGAGTGAGCCGGATGGTATTTTGATACCATCACTAACGGACATTCGAATAGTCTGCCCCGGCACTTCCATACACTCCACCACCGCCGCCGTGAGTCGTGAGTTGTATTTAAATCGTCACGTGTCCAGTCACTGAGCGCCGCCGTCCGAGCTGAGAAGCCAATTGCAGTCAGATCCACGTACGACAACCTTTGCCGGGAAGACCGAGGAATATCCATAACATTCGCCGTCAGCCATAGTTATGTTATTTGTCAACACACCGCCGTCCGAGCAGAGCACTGTTTTTTATATCAACTATTCAAGGTATTGATTGTGAGTATATGCCGTCACGAGCCGAGACAATCACCGCGAAAACCCGACAGAAAACCGTGAGTTTTATTTTTCACGGCCACATTTTTCGCCATACTTAATGTGATTACCCATTAAATTATATTTTGATTGTACACTCGTAAGAGTATAAGTAATTTAAAAAACCAAATATTGTACAACCAATGATTAACTTGTACTTATGCGAAAAACAATAAGTTTTGGAAATAAACGTTTAGTGAAACCAGCAAAACAAACCAAGCGTTGAATTTTCATTACAACATAATTAAGATAAGAAGTGTGATCATTTTTAGAAAAAAAATATTAGTTATAATCTATTATAATTAAATATTAACTTTAAACTATGTATTTATAATGTTTAATTCTATGCATGGCCTGATAGTAGACATATAAGTATGAATTTGTTGAAATTAAGAACTCTATTTCAAATTAAGTTTTCAAATTATTTTTCTACTCTAATTATTAAGTTTCGAAATTTATATTCTACCGAATAACTTGAAAATTTATTGCAAACATTTCAAATAAATCACTTGATTTCCCACTTGGATTTAACATTTGATGAATATTTTATAATTATTATAAAATATATTATACACTTATTAATTATTATCGGGTATCTTCTGTCGATTATAGTAGAAAGTAAGTTGATTTAATTTATAATAATTATTTAATTTTACATGAAGTATATTAATATGCATCTTAAATACTTATTTTAAAGTTTAATCTCATTTTTATATTATATCCAACATGATTGAAATAAGTAGTCTGATTTTTTTTTTAAATATCTGCATTCAATTTTCCGAGTTTCTATAATAAAAAAAGCTGTTAGTTATAATCTATTATAATTAAATATTAACCTTAAACTACACGTTTTTAATGTTTAAGTCTATGCATGGCCTGATAGTAGACATAAAAGTAAAAATATGTTATAACTATGAACTCTATTTCAAATTAAGTTCAAATTATTTTTCTACTCTAATTATTATGTTTCGAAATTTATATTCTACCGAATAACTTGAAAATTCATTGCAAACAATTTCAAATAAATCACTTGATTTCCCACTTGGATTATAACATTTGATGAATATTTTATAATTATTATAAAGTATATTATACACCTATTAATTATTATCGTATATTCTCTGTCTATTATAGAGAAAAGTAAGTTGAATTAATTTTACACGCTTTATATCAGTGCCGTATCCAGGAGGTGGGCTTTTGGGCTTAAGCCCCCCCCCCCTGAAATCTCAGGAAAGATATTTTTTTAGTAATGCGTAATGGGTTCATATCACAGAACAATATAATAATATTATGGTTCATATCATAGTAATAATGTTGACGACCTTTTAGTATGTTAAGGTCTATGGTTTTCACCCATGACAATATATTGGTAACAATAATCTTATTCGTGATATCACAGATTACATAATCTTTTTTTAAATTAACTCTAATATTTTTATTTCTTTATCTTCTTTATTACCAAGCAAAATTGGTAATTTATCATTTAGTGATATACAGCCAGCTATTGATTTTTATGAAGAAGATTTAAGATCTAATAATCAAAACATTCACATGGACTTATTAAAAAATGAATTTGAATTTTGGAAGCAAAAATGGTCTAATGAAGAAAAT